AGTAAACAAGAAACGTTCCAAAACATTTCAATAACGTTGTAACGTTACTGAAACGTTTCAAAACGTTACTGAAATGTTTCTTGTTTAGTGGGATATACCTAAATTAAAAATTATACATTAAACTAAAAATTTCATACCGCAAATTATTCTTCTCATAGTAGCTAATATCTGGCACATTAATATCGTTACAAAAATTAACAAAGATTTCATTCTTAATTAAATTAATATATTTCTCCACATTTTTAATTTCTTCATTTCTTTTTTGCATATTGTCATCAATTACAGCTATTGTCAGCTAAAAATTTTGCGAATAATGAAAGTATCTTTCTTTACAGATCAATAAAAATTTTTAAGTTATATATGTATATGTATATATATATATATGTATATATAAATATATAAAAATATGTACATTTAATGCAATTTTTTTTGTCTCAACCATGTCTAATTCCTTCTCTATCTTAACAATTTCGTTTTCCTAGAAATGAAAATTTTATGTATTATAATTTGCTAACAAGTACGTTTATAATAAAATTAAAATATAATCTATTCCTGTCTTTTAATTACACACAGTATCTTTTATATCTGTTTCCACATATTTATTTTGGCGTGTGAGTGCATTAATTTCTATATTAATTATATCAGCTTCAGATTGCATAAGAGAAATTTTAGATAAATTTCGGAGTTCTTGCATTAATTGTGCCTAAAAAATTGTGCGAATTATATAAATTGTTATGTGTCACTTATTATACCAATCTTAGAAAAAATTTATAACCTTTTGTTCCATTAATGTTAGTATTCGTTGTTCGTCCCATTGTTTTGCTTTTACAGTTAAATCGGCCAGTCCACCAGACATTAGACCTTTTTTACGATAAAAACATCCGTCCAATGAAACACACTAAACATTATAAATATATAGAAATTTAATAAATAAAATTAATATGTAATAATAAATAAAATAATAAAATACTAATACACGTGCGCATACGTGTGCGTGTGCGCGTCATGTATAATTGTTAGTTCCTAAAATATTATTTTTAATGTTTATTGCGTTTTTAAATATGTATATTATTACATCATGTGCTTCCTGTTTATCATCAGGATATGCTAACATTTTTGCATGTTCACTAGTCTCGCAAACTAGAGTATTTTTAGTGACACTTAAAACCGCATTGTTTATATGTGGTGATGAAATATTCAATACATCATATAATAATTTAACATTTTGCGGTTCTTCTATAGCACTGTAACATATAACAATGTTATATGTTATGTTATACAATAAAAAAAAATTTTTTTTTCAAATTACATACCGTAATCTTTCATTTAAAATTATATTTTTTATTGAATCAAGTGGTAAAAACGTTTCAATGCCTATTTTTTCTCGTTTTAAAAGTTGAATACACTGAATTGCTGTGCGCGTGGTATCAACGACAATGGCATTTATATATTGACCAAAAACTTTAGTTACAGCAACATTATAACGTGAATGAATAGGCTTACACAAGTCAAGTAAGCGACCATACTATAAAAAATAAAGTTATATTAACTTTTATAGATTATACCATTATAATCATTATTTAAATTCTAGTAGTAATTAGTAAAAATACCACGCCAGAGTAAATCTGTTTCAACATATTGATTGTTTCAATTTTCTTATTCCTATGCAAAATACTATTCTTATCAATATCTGCCTCAGAAAGCTCCTCTGTAATCTTTACAATATCATTCTCCAGATTTAACAATTTATTCCTCGTTTCAGTAATTTTTTTATCTAGTTCTTGTATTTTTGCTGTTTTTTCCATTAAAGTTGTTTTGGATTTGATACTTGAATCTTGCAATCTTGTGAAACGCGTTTCAAGATTCACTTTCTTTAATATTATCTGCTTTTCTTTGTCCTCTAATTCTTCTTTACGTCTATATTCATTATCAAGTTTAGCCTGATCTTCTTGCTGATCATGCATCAAGCTTTTTATTTGTTTTATAGAATTATGTGCTCGAAATTCAACTTTGTTCGTCAATTCCATGTAACGTTTAACCTTACGTATAAATTGTTATATTAAGTAAAAATTTATTATAAAAAATGGTAAAAACACCAAAATATTTTTTTCCTAAATTATTATACTATAGATTTACAGATATTATATAAGTGCTAACAGATATAACAATAGTACAGTATACCTGAGAGTTACTGAATTCTATAGTGGTCGTCTGTGACGCTTTCCTTAATTCTGTTAATTCGTTGTTTATTCGTTCTAACTCATTATTTAATTCTTGGATGATTCTTTTGTTAGTATCACGCGCTTTATTCGCACTGTCTAGAGCTATGCGAGCGCTTTCACGTTTTTTCTGCCAATATAAAATGTTATCCTTGAAAATAATGTGTTCTGTTTTCCTCTGTTCAATAGTATTTTTCATTTTTAGGATATCTTGTTCAATATCTTCGAGGGAACTGGATGAGAACTTAAATTGTGATTTTGTATCTTCCAGTAAAATTATCACATTCTTTTTGTTGTGTAGATACTCATCTATTCGCAATTTGATTTTTCTTTCCTTATCTTGTAAAAATTCAACTCTCCTCTTAATACAGAGCAATAGAATTAATTGATAGTTTAATTTGTATTTATTCTGTAATGTTAAATAATTGTTTTATCACGAGCATATGAAAGATACACAAACAATAATATTTTTATAACAACATAAATAATTTATAAAGATTTTTACATATATTATAGATTGAAAATAGATATGTAAGACATACATATTGTTCTTTTAGCTTTAAATATTTTTCTGTTTCTGCTTTTTCCATAATGGCGTATTTCTTTTGAATTAATATCTGTTTTTTCAATTTATCCTCAAAATTTATTTTTTCTGCCACGTCCAAAAGTTCTAATTTTAATCTGTAATATTATTAAAATCTAGTAAGGGATGAGGGTACAACTTTTTACGCGACCATTGAATCGTTTTATTTCTACATTTTCTTATGTATTTTCCTTCATGATCATAATAATATCACACTCAAGGAAAAATTTAAAACATTGAAATGAAGTTAATTAATCCTTATTCATCACATCGTTACGAAATGACTGACAATTATGCTTCAATCATTTAAAAACTTATTCAGAAAGAGTTGCTGATCCAACTTTAAATTAGTTTTTAAATGATCAAAGCATATATAACTGGTAGCGATTTCGTAATAATTTCGTAATGTAAATAAGGATTGTATTAACTTTATTTCAGTGTATCAATTATTTGAGTGTACCATCATTATTATAACTTTCGGTTTCAATAAAAAAAAACATACAAAAATGTAGAAATAAAAAAGACCTGTGAACAATCGCGAAAAAGTGAAAGTTGTACCCTACTTTTATCGAATTTCACAGCAAACATTATATCATCAGTTAAGGCGCTTTTTTCACGCAATGTCAAAGCGCTAGCTACAGTTAAGCGACTATCCCCACTTCGTGGTACGTTTTTCCTCCAAAAGCACCGTCGACAAAACGCCGCAAAAGTCCTGCTACTTTTTCATAGAGCGACAAATCCCTAATTTATATTTCATTCATGTATGAAACTGACAATTAATGCGTTTCAAAGTGCGTTTGAACTCTGCTTTTAAAAATCCAATTTCACGCAGCGTCAAAAGCTAGCGGCTCTCCTCACTCTGCATGACATTGACTTCCTATTTAACGTTCGGAAACATCACCCGGGTGCTCTCGTGTATCATCTTATCCTTATTTAACATTGGGTAAATAATAAGGATAAAACGATACACAAGGGCACTCGAGTGATGTTTCCAAACGCAGCCCTATAAGTCGTCATTTTGCCGCTTGAAGTTCAGAGACCTTTTTTGGGTCAGAAAACCAAACAGGGGAATAATTATAAGAAAAAGAAGAGGTTCGGAAAGGTCCAGTTACAGCAAAAAGTGTTTGAATCGTTTCCGACAATTAGTAATTTCGACCATTTCAAAAAATGAATTTGGCAGTAAACATTTTCTCTTATCATTTTCTTGTAATTTTGCAAATTAAATTTTCTTGTAATTTTCTTATAATTTTTGCATAATTGCACATAATACCAGCATTCATTGTTTCGCAATCTTTTTAGCTACTACCGATAGTAATCTATTTCGCAATGCTGCGGACAAAATACTGTCTGAGCAATTTAAACGTATTTTGAAACGCATTAATTGTCAGTTTCATATATAAATTAAATGTATAAAAAAATTTTATATTAACGATTATAAATCCACAGTGATTAGCTGTTATTTTTTCATGAAAAAAAGTAGCAGGACTTTAGCGGCTAGCATTTTGCCGACGATTCTTTTGGAGGAAAAACGTACCACAAAGTACAGGTAGTCGCTTAACTGACTAGCGCTTTGACGCTGAGTGAAATTGCGCCTTTAGAACAAAAGTATACCTATCATAATCTGCTTTGTACTCATTTGAATTAGCAATCTTTTCAAACATTGCGGTCAGATCTTTCGGCTTTTTCATTGCGAAACATGCGATGTAATCTTGAGGTAACAAAAAGTTCTCTGCCTTAATGTCCAAACCCATTTCTCGTAATTCAGTCATATAACATATGTTCGTAACAATCTGCACGATAAGATCTATTAATATCAACTAATATAAGTAAGAAAATAATTTAACAAGACAGTAAACAACGTTGTAGAATTCCACCTTGTTATCTATTTTGTATTGATAGGTTCCACCACGAACTGCCCTTGTGAAATTCTTTTCCTTAATGCCATCTATAGCATTTATTTTGAAAATCAATTTTACATACATAGCGCTGTAACAGTAAACATTAATTATACATTTCAAAATTTACGACTCAAAATACTATAAGCTAAAATTCTTAAAAAATATTATTTATAAATTTTTACTTTAAATAATAATTTTTAAGGTAATAAGGGTTTATATATATATATATATATATTACTTACAAGTAACTAAATGTAGTCTGTATAATGAATCATATTAAAACCTCTATAAATCAGAAATTATTGCTTAAAATGAAAATTAACAAATAACTTTTTTTACTTAATTTTTTGAAAAATTTCTTAATTTAGCATTTTGAATCGCTAATTTTAGGACACCCTATATATAATTATTTATTATACAAAAATAAAGAAATAAAATATTTGAATACGCATCTAAAAAATCTATAATAGCATGACATAAAGTTAATTTAAAAAATAAAAAAAATAAAAAAATATACAATATAGTATATTATAGGATCGTATATATGATAATACAAACTATAGAAATAAAACTATAGAAATAAAAAAAAGTCTAACTGGATCTTAAATGCTTGTATAGTTCTGTTTAAATTTATATACTTATACGTAGTCCTTTGAAATGCGCACCAAAATGATTTTTCGATCTTAAAACGCTAACTCTACTAAACTACTGTAATATCACGAGTTAAATTGACTAACAATTTAACAATTTGATGCTTTTTCGCATTTTCGAATGATCTTCATAATGCTGAGTGACATATTAAAATCTGTAAATAATTAATTCTTAGGCCGGTATTCATAGTCGGTTCTTATTTCAATACTGTCTTAAGCAATGTCTTAAGACGCTAATGCGGCTCTCTGATTGGTTCATGACATCTCAAGGCTGAACTTAAGACGGTCTTAAATATAGGATCTGACTATGAATACCGGCCTTAGGGTACATATTTACTGAGCGCGTCTATATAATCTTATCTCTTTCTCTCTTCCATGACGCGACGCGTGACGCGCTCAGTGAATACGTACCATTATTGCGAAAAATATTACTTCCGCCGGAAGTCGAATCCGGATCTTTTACTTTCCGGGCGAACGTCCTAAGCCTTTAGGTCACAGAGGCTCGGTTTCAAAGGACTACAATACATAGGAGTATACTAATTCACACAGAATCATACAAGCATTTAAGATCCAGCTAGACCGTTTAAGGATTTCTGAAAAAAATATCTTTAATACCATTCCATCATTGATTCTCTAGTAGAAATTCTGTAAACGAGTTCGCTGAGGTGTTTAACACGTAAAGCAGTCAGTCCCTCTCCTAATGCAAAACTTATAGCGTCCACAATATTTGATTTTCCTAAAATACACAAAGTGTATAATATATTGATTTTAATATGAAAGAAATAAAGAAAATTTTATGAAATAAAATTATTAAAATAATCTTATTTATTATTTTATTAAACTAAATCAAATAAAATAATAAATGTTGTTGAATTAAATATATATATATTTCTATATTAATAATTTTAATAAACAACTAGATTATCTATATTTATTTAATATATAATTATAAACATATATACATTAATTAGATTTAACATATAATTACTTAAAAGTGGAGAAATAAAAACATTTAAATACGCAAGAAAATTTTTTGTTTTAAATCAAATAAAATGAACGTTGTAGAAAACATGAGAATCTCACCGGCTCCATTTGGACCAATTATTGACGTAAACGGTTGGATGGGACCGATTACCGTTTCTTCGTCGAACGACTTAAAATTGAAAATGACGATTTTATTTAAAGAAATCGACATTGTTAAAGTAAAACGTTTATCAAATACGAATAGATCGATGACCAAGTAACCGTTGGAAATCTGAAAACTCCAAATTCGAAAAATAACAGGGTTACCAATTTGCACATATCAAAATATCGAAGTCACATTGTGGGGAAGTGTTGCGCATTCCTGGGTTGCGTTTCCAAATTCAACTCGTCGACTCGAGTATCATTTTATCTTTACCACCGAATGTTGAATAAAGATAAAAGATAGTCAGAGTTGACAGAGTCAAGTTTTGGAACGCACCCCTGAGTGGTGATGTAACTTTTTCCCTTTTCTAGGAATGTGATGGAAAAATTTCTCCATTATTTTCAATGATAAAAATTTTCACTTTTCATATTCTTGGAAAAAAAGTTACATTATCTCTAATTAAGCCTTTGTCGGCAATGTGAAATTTTTATCCTTTAGAACGCAGCAGACTTTTGCATAACGCATAAAAGAACTAATCAGAATCCTTTCTTTCTTTTTATTTCACAGAATAGAAGAATTTTAATTGGTTGATTCTTTATGTACTATGTGTTATGCGTCACGCAAAAGTCTGTGCTGAGCCTTTTTGTCTTTATGCACTTTGCATACTTAAATTTTAAATTAAATTTCCTGTATAAAAATCTGAAAATATTCTTACATATATTTATAAAAGCTCTAATAACAAGTCTTTATTTAATTATGAGTTTTATAAAAAGTAAGATTGTGTATTTTATTTTTTATAGATTTAAACTTATGTTGTATCAGAATTTATAATAAAAAAATTGACTGTTTCTACCAATTGCAATTAACTTTAATCTCGGTTCAACTTGTTCTTCATCTTTTTCTAATCCTTTTAATCAGAAAACTGTGACGTTAAAGTCCAATCATTAACGGAGGGTTAACAAAATATTTCAAAATAGTTATACGTTTGAAAAATAAAAACAAAAATATATTTCCATAAAAATAAGAGCGCGCAACATGAACGATGATAGACAGATATTTAAAATGTAATTATCGCGTTATTACTTATATATCAAGTAGACTCGTAGAATAGAATGCGTATTGTATGATAAATGTATATTGTGTGATAAATTAAAATACACGAAAGCGTAATGTTGCAAAATAAAGTACTACTTCATTATTATTGTTATTAATATTGTCAAAATACATGTAACAAATTCTTGTTCAAAAATATATGTCTTGCTAACACAATAAACCGTTTATTTTAGTACTCATTTGCAAGTTTTTATTAAAGTCAAGTTTTAAAGTTATTTACATTGTTCACAACATACCTTGTGTCTCACACTCACAATTATGGTCACTCCTTTATTCTGACTTATAACATACATGTACATGATCTGTGTACGTAATTTATTAGAAAGTATAATAGCAGAGTCTTACAATAATTTTAAAATAATAATAAAGAACGTAAACAAATCTAGAAATAATAATACATTATTTGTAGTATTTATATATTTTTCTTCTAAGACATAATTGAGAATTATCAATGGCGAATATATATATATATATATATAAAAAGAAAATGCTCTCTTTTAAATAATGAACATTTACGAAACATGTGTAGGAGATGTAGTCAAGTCGAGCGTTAATACTTTGCTCTCCAAACACTCACCTACCTATAATTCACATATAACAAATTTAATCGACTAAAATACTAACAAAGACGTATAAAATGATTTATGATCAAACAATTTACTTACATCCGGGCAAATTCCGATAAGTGCATCCGCGTGCGAATAAAATTCCTCTTTCAACGATATAACAATTGTCTGCAGCGAGCTTGTTTTGTCGCGAATGTAGCTAGCCACCTTTCCTATATTAGTATTATCGAGAGCCGCGTCAATTTCATCCAAAACAAAGAATGGCGCAGGCTGGAAACTATATAAGGAATATAAACGAATAGTAAATGTTAATTGATCATGCATCATATTCGAATTATATCATCAATTTTATGTTCAAAATCAAAATATGAACCTGTGAATTGCAAATAACAAAGCTAATGCAGCGACAGTTTTTTCTCCACCAGACAAATTGGACATTGGTTGAAACCGTTTGCCAGGAGCCACGCAATTATAATTAATGCCATCTAAATAAGGTTCTTCAGGATTTTCTGGTCCAAGGAATGCTTGAGCAGATTGATTCTTCGCCAGACTCTGAAACCATATAAAAATATACATATACATATTGTATAATAAAATATATTTATATAAATTATAAACTTATCTGTACATTGTATAGATTTTTACATAAATTTATTGCTTTACAAACCTTATAAATAGGATCAATCTCGTTCGCTACGTGTTCAAAACACGCCATAAATCTATCATGTCGTTCTTTTTTCACCTTTTCAAATTGTGTCTTCGCTTTCTTTGCTTTTTTACGAGATTGCTCAAATTCTTCATTAGTCTCCTGTAATTTCTCTTTCGCTAAATATAATTTTTGAATTGCCTAAAAGAGAAAAAATTTTTATGTCTTTATAATTTTTTACATTTATCGATATTTTTTACATTTATCATTTCCAATGTATCGCAAACCTTCATATTTGGAGCTTGTATGCGCTGTATTGTATTTTGTAAATCATTGATTATTTTTGTTAGCTTATCGGTTGTCTTTTTGATATCCTCTTCTTCCACATCTTTCAGATTTTCGGACAAAAGCGTATAGTCTATGGTAATCCTCTTTTCGCGTTCATACTGTTGTTGCGTACTTACTGATGAATCATTATTAGTTTCACTTCCGTTCGCAGTGCTCGTTTCACCTGCTATATCTTCCATATTTCCGTACAGCATAGGTATTGCAATATCTTCCATCTGAATATTGTTAAATACACTTAATAATTCAAAAGAATATACATAATATTTTTATATGGTCAAATAATCTCATATTGAAGACTTAACAAACCTTGCATTGCATTAAGACAGCATGTCGTTCAGCCTTCTTCTGTTCAATCTTTGTTTCAATTGCGTTAAACTGCTTCTGAGCTGCCTGAATGTCTTTTG